GTCTGGAGATTAACTGGAAAGAAAGTAGACAGTAATTTGGTCACAGTAGTGGTTAAATATTCCTAAACTAAAATACAGAGGTCTGAGGTCTGTGAGAGCATGTAGTGGACAATTTCCACTGAAATCCAAAGGGTAAGTATGTTAGCCAAGTACAATGTGGAAAAAGTGTTTCAAGCAGAGCTAACAGCCTGTGTTAAGGCCCTGAGGCCTAAAGGAAAGATCTTGTCCCCTTCGAAAGGCCAGTTTGATTTAAGAATGATTGAAGAGGAGAGAGAGGCTTTTAGGAGCAAGAAGCCTGAATGGGGGCTTAGAGATAGGCAAGGGCCAGATCATTATGGATTTATGAATGATGGACTTTATCTTAAAAGCGATGGTAAACTATTACAAGGGCTTTTTTTTAGATTTTTACTTAACAGTGCAATATTGGTTCTAGAGTAGAATTCGGTGATTCATCACTTATATACAACACCCCTACCCTCTTTAATACCCATCACCCATCTAGCCCATCCCCCACCCACCTCCCTCCATCAACCCTCAATTTGTTCTCTATCCTTAAGAGTCTCTTAGGGCTTGTCTCTCCTTTTCTTCCCCCCCCCTCCTTTTTTTTATTCCCACTTCCCATATATTCATCTGTTTTCTGTCTTAAATTTCATATATGATATATGGTAATTTGTTTTTCTCTTATTTCACTTAGCATAATACGCTCTAGCTCCAACCACATCATTGCAAATGACAAGATTTCATTCTTTTTGATGGCTGAGTAACATTGCATTGTATATACATACCACACCTTCTTTATCCACTCATCAGTCGATGGACGTTTGGGCTCTCTCCATAATACGGCTGTTGTTGATAATCAAGGGCTTTTTAAGCAAAGGTGGCAGCACCAAGGAATGGGAATAAATCTAACTCCTTAAATTCATCTCCATTTTTGAACGTCTGATAAACAAACTGACCTCAATCTTATGTAGATCATAAAGTCACCCTCAGATGCCGTTTTCATTGATCACTAACATCAATTTCTATTACACACTGTTAACTTAGGTCCTATCCCGCTCCCACCTTTTTCCTCTCTAATGACTAAGGACCTCCTATCTGCAAACCATCTACGACTAAGGGGTTTTGTGATGCTATTTGTATTTTAGAAAGATCCCTGGAAGGGCTGAGTGAAGAATGGATTGTAGGATGCAAGAGCAGATGTGGGGAGCCCAGTAGTCTCTTGAAAACGTGATGGGAGATATGGCATTTCAGACACAAGATTAGACAGTAAGGATGGAGAGCACAGCTCCAAGAAATATTTACATCAGTTCAATAGTCTTGGGGATGACTGAACAGGACTTAAAAATAGTTGAGTTCTGACTGAAGTGGATGGGGGCAGTGTCATCAGTAAGATGGATGCAAGAAAATTTAGGGAATAGCAGGACTTCAATTTTGTGTCTTCCTAGTGCAAATACGTTAGCAAGGTCTAGAAACAGATTAGAAATAAATCTGGAGGTCAGTGTTGATAGCTGCTAACTGAAGCTTTAGGAGAGGATTAAATAGTCCAAGGATACAGTGACATGAGAAGAAAATGTTGACTGAGCTTTGAGGAACACCAATACTTAAGATTAAAGGGAAGAGAATCCCACAAACACTGAGGAACAGCCAGAAAGGCAGCTATTCTATTCCAGATGCCTAGAGGTTTTCAATTTTGGTGTCCCTTGATACTGTCAGATATTGCCTAGAGAACAAGCTAAAGAATCAAATTTCTACTGGATTTAGTGGCAGAGATGTCATTGGTGGCTCTAATAAGAGCTATTGTATATAGTGGCAGCAGAAGCTATAGGTCTGAAGAGCAAATAGGAAGGAAATGGAAAACAAATATGGGACATTTGAATCTGGCTAGGAAGCAGATAGAACTATACAGAAATGTGAGGGCCAGATTTCTCCTGATGAGAGGAATTACATGTTCAACAGCTCATGCAAAGGGCCAATGGAGAGATTTAAAAAAGAAAAAATACAGACCAAGTAACAACAGAGTTCATGAGAGAGTGAGGGCATGGGATTTGAGCACATGTGGAATAACTGGCCTTTAACAGGAGGGCTACTTCCTGTACAAGAGGAGGGATGAAATGAATGCAGAGGCATTTGTGTACATTTGCCTGATTTCTTGTTAAGCAAGTCATTAGGGGATGAGAAACAAAGACAGTGGTTTGAAATAAGCAAGGTAATAAACACAGCAGGATTACTGGCAGTGCTGATAGCTTAGGTGGCGATTAGGAGTTGACACTGGTACAAACCTACCAGAAATAGGACCTCCAGCTGCCTGGTTGAAACAACAGTGTTGGGTCCATCCAGGGTTGTTTTGCCAGGCTGACACAAAACATGACCTAGTATACATGACCTAAAATTATTCACATCTACTAAAGTCTAGTCAGCCGAAGACCACCAGGTTAAAGCCTGCAGTCTGACAAAATCTTATTGACTTGTAAGCAAGGGAGGAAACTCCACGGAAAACACGAATGGCATGGTACACAAGAGGAAGGAGGAGGGCACCCACTTCGGTAAAATTTGGATTCCTGCTGAAGGAATCTGAGATTCTAAAGGGATACCTGTTCTGAGTTGGATGCTGCTTCTGAAGCAAGATTAGAAGCAGGAATTGACTAGGGATTGGTGTGGTTATGAGGTGACGGCTGTTTAATAATTGGGTATCCCCAGTAATAGATGGGTGGGATAGCAAAGCAGGTCTGAAGACAACAAAGCAGCAGTCCTACAAAGGGGTCATGATGGCAGTTTATAATTGCATGGCTTTGGGAAAAATGTGTCCTGTTAACTTTGTAGCTAGCTTTATCTGTTTGTCCTCCCAACCAGAATAACAGCAAGGGTACACCCCCCACCCCTACCCCCCAATGAGAACTGATTTTCAGTCCTTCAGTCCTGAACAGGTTTTTACTCTTTCATACCATGTGTCATCTTCTCTTGTTAAACATGACTGATATTTTCTTAAATAAGAACTTCCTCCAGATCCATCTGTTCTTCTATAGATAAGACTTAATGAAATACCTAATCATGGAATTGCCCCTTTCTGACAATTTCCAATCTAGGGTGAACCTCCAGTTTCTTGGACCCGCTCCCAAACTATCCAACCAAAGCAAAAACCCTATTATAATGGGTTCTAATACCCTCTTACTGACACACCCCACAGTTCCCCATATGTGTATTCTGCTTTAGTGCAAAAGTACTAAGCCCAGCCTGTTCAGGTACATGTATATTCCTGGTAGTCTTTGGCTGGGAGGGCACGGACAACATAAAGACAGAAGGTATGAGTTGATGACACAAGTGCCAGATTTTGTACAAACCAGCATTTGTACTTTGTTACCAGAACACAGGCCTATGACCTGCACTAGCACCTGTGCATTCTTGCTCACTGGAGACTTGTACTATTAATCCTTTCAAGAGACTTAGGACCCATGTTTCTGTTGAAGATACAGCCAACAATTGTAGCACAGGGCCGGCTCTTCCTTTCAGGATATACCGTTGCAGTTTTTTAAAACATATCCACACATTTCCTGATGGCCTAATATTTGATATGGCTTTAGGGACTCAGAACTAAGACTGTAATGGAAGTTAATGCTGTGTGCAGCTTCCAAATGCAGCTTCTTCCTGAGTCTTCTACAATGCCCCCTCCAAAATCCAGCTGCCATGTTTGTGAAAAGTCCAGGCCACATGGACAGGCCATGTGTAGGTGGGTCTTGCCAAGTGATAGCTTCAAGTCATCTCGGCCCAGTCAGCCATGTGAGTGAAGAAGACTTCAGATGATTACAGCTCCCAGCCATTTGAACCACCTCCAGTCCTTAGTTTTCCCAGCTGAGGCTTCAAACACTGCAGAATAGAAAAAAGCCGTGCCCTGTCCAAATCCCTGAACCACAGAACTCATGAGCATAATAAAATGCTTATTGTTTGAAGACATTAAATTTGGGTGGTTATTTAAACAGCCCTAGTAACTGGAACACATAATGATCCTGAGTACAGCAGTGATTGGTGACAACGAGCTAGTGGACAAAGCTGGATGGTTATTCACAAAGCAACCACAAGAAGTTTAAAGTATATTCAGTTATCATGTACTTGTCCCCTGGTCTAATGTACTCCCTCTTCCCCATACCCCTTCCCCCTCACCCCCAAGATTTACAATGAGCACAGTCTTTGGAGAACTGCAGATTAAAGTAATTATCGACCACATTACAGGAGCCATTTTGAAAAAAAGAATCCTATTACAAGTTCCCAAAACCCCAATTATATATATCCTTCCCTTTTACAATAAGGAATCTAAAGGTTAATGTTTTATATTTAACTTTTCCAATTAGACTTGTTACTGAATTCTTAACACACACTGAATAGGACATCTTCTAGCATAGTTTGATTTCAAACACTTAATTTTATGACATCAAAGTTGAACAGAAATTCTTTAAAATATCAGGATACCACTCCAAAAACTTAGAGGAAAACAAAACTATTTAAATTTTATTTTCAAAGTCTAACTTTAATCCAGACTGAACAAACAAGCTGAAAAGTGAGAAAGCTAACTGTATTAGCAGACACAGATGTACCAAATGTAAAACAATGGGTTATTAACAGAACTATTTACATGCATATTTACAAGCAATCCTTTTGTACATAAGTTTTACTTTTAGTTAGCTGGAAAAAGGCTTTTGACATTAGGTACAAATATTTTTAAATAGGGCTGAGGTGGTACTGCATTATAGTAAAAGTATTAGAAAAGTGATCCTCAGGGTGTATCAATTATAAAGCAGGTGAAAACTTGAGTGACAAAGATCTAGTAAAACTCTCTAGTAAAAAAGTCAATGCAACTCATACTACAAAATAAAAATGAAAGCCATATAAATAAAGCAGAATAATGTTCTAGGCTTTTGGGTAATGAAGTTGAGGGGTGGGGTGGGGAAGAACAATTCCAATAAATCCTAAGTGAAGAATCCTGGTTGTTTAGTTGGGAGTTTTAAGACTTTTTTTTTTTTTTTTAATGACATTTTAAAAGCCCTTGGTATCAAATAGCATCTGGATATGTAAATCAGTTAATGATATATTCTAAGACTTTAGTGCTAAAGATTTTCATGATTGTGATTCATATTTGAAACCCAATTCACTGAGACAACGTAAAACTAAATGAAAGCTATATACTCATCTAAAAAAGGATGTTACATTTTGCAATAATACATATTTCCAGGCTAAGACTTTTTCCCTCAAGAAAAGAATTTAAAGGTTAAGCTTCTAACCAACTAGCAAAATTTACTTTCAACATTTCATTTATTTCAAAATCGATTTTATTGCAGCCAAAACAGTGGAATTAACTGTACATAATAAACTATTATATATATATACACATTTTAAGTTATAGGGAATAAAGTTTATTTTGGCAGATAGTGTTAAACAAAATTAAAGTTGCATACATTAGTAACATAACTCAACATCCTTAATTTGGTATAAGTGTGACACGTTTTCCTGTTTTCCTGTGTTCTGCTAAATCACCATAACCTAAACTGCTTTATAAAATATGTTGAAATTTAGCTTTACTGTTTTCGCTTACGCTCTGATTCCAAACAAAACTTTTCATAAGCTTCTTCTATCTCTGGGTCCATCTCATCATCAATATCATCCAAGTATCTATGAAAGAAGTAAAGATTCATAAGTTTAACATTTTTCAATTCAGAAACATCTAAGATGCTAAGCCACACAAAAAAGTATGGTGATATAACTTTCTTAGACTGTTACAGAAGGTAAGCACTTTTCAGAATTACATATATGTCAGTCCTCAGACAACCAAATGCTTAATCTGAGGAGTTACCTTTCACACTGCATTCTGAGTCTCTTCTGTTTGAAATTAAGCTTGTTATACTTTTACATGTATGTTAAAAAAAATTTAAGTTATCTCTACACCCCATGTGGGGCTCAAACCCACAAGCCCAAGATCAAGAATCCCATGCTCTTCTGACTGAGCAGTCAGGCGCCCGACATAGGTTAAATTCTTAACCTAACCTAAAAGCGAATTCAAAGTCTCAACATATAAATTTGGGGGCTCAAGACTGATATTATTTTCATAAACTTACCTTAATCACATTATAATTAGAACATAATTTCAGATATGCCATTCACCTCTAATAATGCAAAGTTTTATGTCTACTTTTTTTAAAGATATTATTCATTTGATAGAGACAGCACAAGCAAGGAGAGCGGCCAGGAGAGGGAGAAGCAGGCTCCCCACTGAGCAAGGAGCCCAATGCAGGGCTTGATCCCAGGATCCTGGGATCATATGACCTCAGCTGAAGGCAGAGGCTCAACCGACTAAGCCACCCAGGCTCCCCTATTTTATATCTACTTAACATCAGAAATGGTATTCTTGAAATGGCAATTTAGTCACATTGATTTATCTGGAATCACTTTCATAACAAGAAGCTACCTTCAAGATCATCTATCTCAGAATTTTTCCAACTATTCGGTAGTTTAAAATGATGGAAAACAAAGCTTTCCACAGTTAAGTATGGGTAGAAAATTTAAAGAGCCCACTAAAGATTTAATATACATATTCTTACTGAATACCCATAGCCATCTTAAAAAGATAGGTACTACTATCACCTCCATTTTTTAAGTAATCTCTACACCCAACAAGGGGCTCGAACTCACAACCCTAAAATCAAGAGTCACATGCTCTACTGACTGCACCAGACAGGCACCCCATCATCTCCGTTTTAGAGATAAAAGAAAGACTCTGGAAGGAGGTTAAGTAAATACTCTCAGATTTGGGTTAAATATGTGGCACAGCCAGAATCTGACTCCAAATCTTTTCCCTTTTCTACACGATTTATCTGTAACAACATGTTGTCTATATGTCTCCCCACCCCGCAATAATCCTTTTCACCTACATATGTGACAAAACTATCTTGCCAATCCTACCAACTGCTGCTGGGTCTTCTGTCGTTGTTCCTCCATTTCTAGTACAAGGCCATGTGTTGAAATGGCCATAAGTGTATCAGGGCAAGAGCACGAAATGTTTACCAAGCATAACTTCAGGGGACAACCTGAAATTCAATGCCGAGAACAGCTTGAACTTCCAGTGATATACCCAGCAGGGTTGAACCTTTTTCTTATTGGGATTGAGTCCTTACAACCCTATTTTTTTTTTTTTTAATTAAACTAGTATGTAAAAACAAAAAAAAAATATGGTAACATTAGATCTCAAACAGACTTATAAATGTCACTAGATGGGAGAGAGAATAAAAATGATTCACTTTTTTAACCTACAACATACATGAGAGATGAGACGTGGAAAAAATTAAGTCAGTTTTAATTTATTCCCTCCTCCACTTAGAAGAATACTTGAGTGGTCCAAATTCACATAAACTGTTAAGAGAGCTGGGACCAAACCTCACAAGTTCTTGGTTCTTCTATAACTCAGTGTAATGCAATCTGATGGTAAGGGAGTAGCAAAAGTTTCTTTTATTACAAAGAATGGCAGGTAGGGATTGAGAGATGTGAATGGGACTATAACTTACATCTTCCCATTAGTCCAAACACTTACATAGTTATCAGCATTCTCTTTAATCTTAATTCATCCTTTAAAACAGCTAAGATCTGACTCTTTTACTGTCTGCCAGGAGGTGGTTCTAAGTATATATGTATTTTCACTTAGTTCTCAAAAGAACTCAAGGAAGGGTCTACTGTTTCTACTTTACAGATGGAAAAAACAGGCACAGAATTTCCCTAAGACCTTACAGTATTAGAGCTGAACTGAATCTATTTTATAGAACTATACTTGAGTATACCACTATTTTAGTTTTTCCCCTTCAGATATATATACATTTTCAGAATCAGAGTTTATGTTTTCTAGTATGATTTCCTGAAAATTTTTGGTAAGCAATACATGTACACCATTGCAACACCATCAAATCAAAATGTGCATTCTTCATCTACCTTTTTCTAATCTAAACTCCATCTATAAACTATGGCCACAGAAATATCAAAAGGAAATTAATAGCTAGGAAGAACTTACGGATCACCAGCCCCTGATAAATCTGTCCCATTTTCTTCATAATCTGGAAAAAAGTCTTCTCTTTCAAGTAACTCTTGATATTTCTCTTGGTAATCTACAAGAAAATTTTTAAAAATGCTGACAAAATTCATAAAATGGCCAGTTATCCTTAAAAATGACTTTTAATAATAGTTTTCATTTAAGTAGAACCAGTGTTTAAATAGCAGGAAGCTTCCAGTTGCATATTTAATAGCTTTTACAAAACTTATATTCTAACTGGCTTGCTTTTGCCACCTGCATGCTCATAAATCTTAACATTCCTCTAATTACCTGTTGCAAATCAAGGCCACTGGGGATATACCACAGCCACCGTGTATGCCACTTATACTCTCTGCTGCTTCTTTCCATAAGACAAAATATATATCTATATAACTTGTTGGGAAAGAACATGTTCTTCCATATTCCTGTTCTTCCTTCCACAATGAAGGATTTTAATCAAATAGCCTGGGCTCTGTTCCCCTTACTCTTTCCTGAGGAAGTAAAGTGAGCTAGTGGCTAGCAACTAACAGCCACTGGCCCATGTTTCTCAATCAGATTAGCTAACCTAGCAAAGGTTCTAAGCACAGGGGATTTTCTTTTCTTCCCTCAGAGACAGCTGGAAGGTAGCTACCTGATAAATGTTTCAGCTATACGAACTTTCCCTTGGTTGGGTTCTTCCAAGGCAATACGGGTAATTTTATAGCTCTCCATCTGCCAACTGTCTTAGGCAGAGTTACTGAGTATCTTTTAAGATTAGCATGTCCATATGGAGTACTGATCTCTGAATAATAAAACAGATCAGTGTGTATTAAAACTAGTTACCTTAAAATTGGTTTCTTGTGAACAACAGCTCCTCAAATTTCAACAGGATAGTTACATTAGACCCTATTTTCCCCAAGATTGCCAGTCTCTATAAAACTTATTCCAGCTTAAAGGGTTGGTGATATTTTGACATCCAATTTTGGCAATCTGGAGACAACTTTAACTGTAGACCCTTCCTGCAACAAATACTTGAGGTAACAGATAAGACAAACATTCTTTTAAATGCACAGATGAGTTCAGAAAAAAGAAAATCAAGTCCCCTGATGACCAACAAAAAGGGAACTGAAAATCATACATACCTACTCCAGCCAGGAGGCTGGCAGACCACATGCTCTCAGTTAACAAAGGGGCTTGGATTAAAAACCTACAGAAGGTCAGAAAGCAAGGTCTTGGGCCCATGTGAAACAGAGATGCAATTCATGCCCATGCCCACCTCTACCTACAAAAATCTGGGCCCTTCAAAGGGTGGATATCTCAAACAAAAGGTGGACCCGGAAAAAAACAAAATGGAAAACACTCTGGTGGCAAAGAGAGATAGCAAAGAAGCTTGCTGGTCTCTTCTTGGGTTTGAAGTAGAAACAACAGTACTCTGAAGAAACTGGTTCCTCAGAAAATTTGTAATAATGGGCCTACACCTCAAATTTCTACTACCCACATAAAAAACCCTACGACAAGAAATAAGAACTTGTTCCAAATCAGTTTTACCCCTGTGGCTCCTTGGCAGGAATAGATGTTACTACAACCCAAGCCACAAGGAGTTTTCATAAAGAAAAACAAAAAGAGCAGTTAAAACATGAGAGCAGTCACAAAGGACCACAATATGTATAACTTCAAATGGTTTAGAAAAGTGTGGACAGAACAAGTGATAAAGCAAACAGAATAAACATTAACAAAAGGTACATGTGGGTAATGGGTGGATGGGTGTTATTTGTACAATTTTTACTTTTGTAACTTTTCTGTAAGTTTGAAATCCTTTCCAAAAAAAGTTTAAGACCATTAAATATCAGATTACAATTAAAAAAAGATCAAAATAAATTTTATGTGATAATCAAAAATAACAGCAGGATTAGAATTAAAAGACAGAACAAAAATGTGAAACAAAAATAAGCATGTTTAGAAATTTCTATAGACAAAAGAACAAATAGGTTAAACAAATGAGACACAGATGAACAAAGAACCAAAACGATTCAAGGTAACTTTGAAGACTAAGAAAATTTGTCTTACCAGACATAGCAAGATTTAAAGTAAGTAGTAATTAAGACTGCGGTATTGGTATTAAGACAGACAAAAGATCCACATGCACAGACACAGAATAATATACAAGTTTAGAGAGGACGGACATGGTACACATCAGAGGGACTGCATTTTACTGAGGAGAGAGGATGGGTAACTCAACACTGGTTGCTGAGACAAGAGAACATGGAATATTTAATTCCTACTACATCTATCACATAAAGATTAGCCAGATGGATTAAAGACCTAAATATGAAAAGCAACAAAGACTTTTAGAAGAAAATGGAGTTTGATGGTAATAAGGAAACCTTAGCCACTGAGAACAGGAACAAGACAGATACATTGACATGAAAACTCCAAGCTTCTACAGGACAAGACAAACATAATGGAAAGAGAGCATACACTGGGAGAACCTCAGAGTCACTTTCTGGGCTATGTAAGGAATTACAAATCAGTTAAGAAACAAATGATCCAAGACAAGTATGGGCAAAGAACACAAATAGGCAATTCTTAAAATTCCTTAAAAAAAAAATTCTTAAAATGAAAACAACTGTCAATAGAAACATGAAAAGAAATTCATTATCACTAGTAAGGAAATGAAAGTTTACAATTTGGTACAATCTAACAAGTGTTGCCATGGATGAGAAACAGGAATCCTCATGTTCTGCAGGGGGCATATCATGTGGTATAGTCAGACTGGAAAGCAGGTTAGCAACATTTAGTGAAGCAGAAGATGCAGGTAACCTACAATGTAGCAACTGTACTTCTTCATCCTGAAGAACCTCCTGCATGTGCACAAGGACTACTTGAAGAATACAGCACGGTCTATAGTAAGGAGTGTGAGCCACCCAACCACCCTCAAGTAGGGACCTATAACCAGTGCCGTACTCTGAGTGCAGTATTATTTGGCATTTAAAACGAACCAACATGCTTTTTATATTCTGAGTGTTTTGTAATTTAAAGTTGAAAGTTAAGCAGTCCTTCTTTCCACCTCCTTAGAGAAACAGGATAGTCAGTGCCTGCTGGCCAGAGGAAGCAAATGGGAAAATTCCGAACAATAAGCTGGTTATAATTTTTATCAAATGGGAAAATTTTCTCTTGCTCATACTGCAGTCCCATTTATCACAATTAAAGCAATCTTTCTATAAACAGCCCTTTTCTGGAAGGGGAAGTGTGCTGAGATTTAGATTTTAATTAACTTTGACCTACTGACTATTAATGAAACCCGTTAATTCTTAGTATTTGCAAGTATTAACCCATAGTAACAAACGTTGTACTCTATGTAGTGAACTAGAACCATCTTTCCCTTCTATTTTAACCACCTGAAAGCTTACAGTATAAAAATGAAATATTAGAGAAAATATAAAACAAAAATGGTTGCATTTAATCAAGGGATTCCTCCAAAACCATTGTCAGGATGACAAGATACTATACAGAGTCAGACTTTCCACCTGAAATGGTTCAAAGCGGTTGTCCCTATAAAGAATATTCTATAGGAGATAAACATTTACCCTGTATCTTAGAACAATATGCCTGCTTCAAACAGTTACAACTTTGTACAGGTGAGGGTATGGTTTTCTGTAACTCACTAGCTTACCATGCAATGGGGGGCAAAGCACTGTGAGACAGCCTACCTGGGTCGGCTGCAGTGAAAGGAACACCGTCAGAGGTATAAAATGTTGGTTCATTCTAGGATGAATCAAAGTGATACAAATATGTAAGCATTTCAGAACTGATTTTTTAAAGCACATTAATTAACGAAGCATGGCTGAGGTCTCACTCATCTGCACCTGATAATGCAAGATCGCACAAAAAACTAGCTTCCTAATAGCCATTTTCATTTCATTGGGAAAGTCTATGGTTTTCAGATTTCTATTCTATTCTCTCAAGTTCCTGTGGCTGTAACCCTGCTGTCTAGTCTGTCACACTCGTGATGAACTGTTTTGTTGTGCACTGTGATTTAGCGTTGTGTCAGCTTATTTTTAGTTGTGGTTCTCCCCCCACCCCCCACCATTTTTTAAAGAATTTCCATGGCTGGGGTTATAGGAGCATTTCTCCATTGTTGTGTTAGGTTTGGTCACGTCAGGAGCTTCAGGGCATCATTGGCCTGGTGATCACTTTTATTTTCTTAATTTACTACACCATGCAAAGTGAAAGTGCAGGCCTCTGGTTATAAATTCTCTGGAAAAACTTTCCACAATCCCACTCAACTGAGTCCAAGCCTTATCGATTTCCCTTGCCACTGGATGGATCTTTCTCTAGTCCACTCTTTCCTTAGAGGACTCCATGTTTCTTCTCCTATTTACCTGGCTTGCTTTGCTGGCTGCCATGTGACCCTAAGCCAATGAAAAGAGTTATTGGCATTAAATTCTGAGAATACCTTTTTTTTTTTTTAGAATACCTTTACATACCTCATCTAGAAATTTCCAAAATTGGATCCAAGCAATAAACAAAACTTAAAATGTAAACGCTGGCATACCATAAAATAATTAGGATCGTTTTCAGGTGTTGCTTCTCTGTATGTTGAAGTTGCGTGGACTCTACCCCAGTTACTTGACCGGAGCTCGACAAGCTTCAAGAGCATCTGTTTCACATCTCTGCAGACAAGTTGAAAAAGAGTTAAGGGTATCCAAAAAAGTGTTGTTAGGTTCTAGAATACCACAGACTCCTAAAACCATGTTTCATAAATTTAACATGTACATTTAAGTGCTTTGATTTTTTAGGCATTTCCTATATTGACATAATTTTTTTTTTTTTTTTTTAAAGCAGCCTTGAAAGTTTTTCCATCTCGTGTGCCTGGGTGGCTCAGTCGGTTAAGTGTCTGCCTTTGGCTCAAGTCATGGTCCCAAGGCTCTGGGATCAAGCCCCACATCGGGTGCCCTGCCCTGTTCAGCAGGGAGCCTGCTTCTCCTTCTTCTCCCTGCCCATGCGCTCTCTCTCTTTCAAATAAAATCTTAAAAAAAAAAAAAAAAAATTATTCCATCTAACTGTGACTATACGGTTCTTAAAGGCAGTACCCATCCCACATTTTTATGCCTCCAACTGGACTTATAATAGTACCTTACCCAAGTATTTATTGAACAATTTAAAGTCTGAATCATTTTACTTTTCAATGGACTCCTATCTTACCACAGGAAAATCTTAACTTTTTCAATTTACAAACACAACTGAACAAAAAAAGCCAGGTGAGCAGAAGCCATAACTAAAATATTATACCTTTAGGAAAATATTTCTGTAGATCTGTAAGATTTCAATTCTTTCGATGATAGCATACATCACAGATTAAAAAACAAGCCCCACAGAAAAAGAAATTGAGATCTACTGGCTAGCTACCCACCTGCTGCAATTTGCATCTAGGACAACATTCTCAATTCTCTGAATGATTTCTTCCATATCAGTCTTTCCTTTCTCCTTCCAGGCATCTTCCAAAACTGACCCTGTCAACTAAAAAAGCAGGTTATCAGTAAAATAAGGGATTCAATAAAGTATAGAAATTCTAAAAAAAAAAAAAAAAAGTATTCGTAGCAATTCAAGCATTCTTTGAACAAAATGAATTTGGTAAGTTAAATATGCCCAATTATTCTCCGCCATCTAACAGTCAGGAATCTCTATTTTTCCTGATGGAGAGAAATTAAAGCAGAACCTGAATCACAGGTTTTATGTATCAATGACTATAGGCTATATTCCCCATGTAAGTTAGGCTATAAAATCTAAATCAACCTTTCGTTTTTTGAAATATACAAGTATAGAAGCTCTGGATTAAAAAAAAAAAATACAAACTTCGGGGGGAAAAAAAAGAGGTAAGGATATAAACCGGTAATTCATAGGAGAAAAATGGCTAACAAATATGAAGAAATGCTTAAATTCACTAGTGATCAGGAAAATGCAAAACAAGATTTTTGTTTTTACTCATTACCCATGACAAAACAAACCAGGATTGATTATATCCATCACTGATAAGAATATGGGGAAAGCAGTATATTCACTCACTGTTGGTAGGACAACAACCAAACCATACACCTGTTTAGCATTTAGAAGGGAAATTTGACATTACTTCTCAAAACAAAGTATACTATGCTCACTGACCTGCCAAATCTATGTGTAGGAATCGAACCTACATAAGCAACTGTACATGTAGAAACGAAGTTACTGCAGAAAGAGGTAAATCTTTTGTGCCAAAGATCTAAGATACTTGTTACATAATAAAAAGGCAAGCCAAAAAGAGTGAGATTTTTTGAGGGCACACATACATACATGGGAAAGGAAATTTAGAGATGGGGGTGAAGGACTTCCATTCTTTGTTTCTAAATTTGGATTCTCGTATTTAAAAAATCAGTACAGGGCAGCACGGGCGGCTCAGTTGGTTAAGTGTCCGAGTCTTGATTTTAGCTCAGGTCATGATCTCAGGGTCCCGAGACTGAGGCCCACGTCAGGCTCTGAGCTCAGTGCGGAGTCTGCGTGTCCCTCTCCCTCTGCCCCCTGCCCCCAGATCCTGCTCATGCACTCTCTCTCCCCCCCGCAAAAAAACTTAAAATCAGCACATACTGCATTTCCAATAAATTCAAGAGCAAAGCAAAATGTCAACATTTAACTTAAAGAAAAAAATTTAATCTTGAATTCACTGCATACTATACATACTTTCCTTCCTCTAAATCATATACGAATGGGGTAGAAAGATGAATTTTAAGACAAACATAAGTAAAACCTACCTTCAGTAATTTTACCGCACAAATTAAGTTGTCATCCATAGGATTAGAAAAGAGGGCATTCAGCAACTCCCGGAGACCAACCTGAAGAATATCTGCTCTTGTAACCTGTCCATTTGTTCCCTTGATCTTTGGGGACAGAAGAAAATGAAAAGCAACCATACGAAAATATTACAACAGATAAATAAATGGCCTAACATCCTGGCAAAATAAGTGTCTTAAGTTAAACAATACAAAAATCAGAAGTGCTCTTGTATCTTCAAAAATTATACTATTTTCCATGTATATAGGACCTCTAACACAACTAGTAAACTACAGGTAAAATTTTCCATTTATCACACACAACATATGGTCAGGATAACCGAAGCCTCCTTTATAAATTACTGCTTCATAAAGCATTCTCTGGTCTATTAAGCTACCACCTTTTTTGGAACATGCAGCATTTTATTATTCTTTTTATACTATTTAAAAATAGTGTTTTGCGTCAGAATCGTCTAAGTATCGTAGCTCTCCAGCCAGAAGAGCTGTAGGCTAAGGAGCCACACTTCATCTGTACACCCCCCCAGACATGGCATCATTACGTCCACATAGGAAACAACTGTGTTCTTAGAATGACTCTCCATTTACAGCACATTTTAGGTGAATGCTCTTATTTTGGCTTATATAAAAATCAAACTGAAAGATTAATGCATGAAAGTTTTAAAAAATTAAGTCCATCCAGGGGCACCTGGCTGGCTCAGTTGGCATAGCATGTGACTCTTGATCTCAGGGTTGGGAGTTCAAGCTCCACGTTGGGCATGGTGCCTACTTAAAAAAATAAAATAAAATAAAATCCCAATGCAAAAAAAAAAAAAAATTAAGTCCATCTGTGGTAAAATGGGATAGTAAATTAGGCACTAGACTGGACAGACCTTTTAGATGCACTGACTGAGATGCACATTTGATGGTGGATCTCATGGGTCTTTTCAGTGGTGTTTACGATTAAGTTTTCAAATCAAAGTTAAAGGAGGTATAACCTATCTCTGGGATTAACTAGTCCAAGACAAAAATAAAAAAGCAAATCCATTACAAAGTAATACTCAGCACTTAGTTGCCTACGAACATATATCCAAGAATACCACCAATTTACAAATTTGTTTAGCTACAGACTTCAAACAAATGCATTTTATGTGGAAGATTAATATATAAAATAGCACCAAGACAAACAATCCTGGGTGAATTAGTGTGGAAAGAACCCTAGATATTCTAGTGTCTCCCCCCCCCCACCACCCCGCCCTTTCAACTCAAAGCTTTGTGTTCTGCAGAGTACGCTGCTTTTGAGCCACCATGTGAAAGTCAATAGACGAAATGTGTGAATTCAAAAAAGGTATTATCTGTATTTCGAGAGCTTACACTTGCATGGAAACCATGGCTTTCCAAAAGTACACAGACTTTAAAATTCCCAGTAACCACTTCCCAACAGCCACCCCGCAAACAGGAGAAACAAACATTAGGGACGTTCCATTAGAACGCAGGCACTAACCGTGAGCAGCCCCTGAGGCACTATTTCTCTCTCTCCCTTTGCCCGGCCTTATTTCACCCTTAATGTTGTCCAAGGATAATGTGAATACAAATTCCTTATCATGATCAGTTTACGTTCCCAGGCTTTGTCAGTACTTAAGAAAATTCCTCCTCACCTCCAGGTTAAGGTAAAGCTCCCCCAGGAAGAGAACAAACGCATGGAATCGTTTCCGAGTCACTTCGTCACCTTTTGCAGCTTGATCTTTAACTTCATATTCAGTCCGACATCTAATGAAGATACACCTTTTATAATCGCACACTGCTTTGTTTTGTGAACAAACAGGATGACCAGCTGTCGGATTTGCAGTCCGCAAGCAATACAGAGACAAGTACCATGCACCAATGCCCTGACTTTCTGGAGTGAAAAGTGTTCCTGTCTATTGTAGAGACCAGAACACGCATCATCTTTTTATACTAAGATTCCTAGTTGTAAGAAACTAATGGGTTTATTTTCAACTACTCTTATCAGATCAAGTTTTTTTTTTTTAAAGATTTTATTTATTTATTCATGAGAGAGAGAGAGAGAGGCAGAGGGAGAAGCAGGCTCCCAAGGAGCAGGGAGCCTGATGCGGGACTCAATCCCAGGACTCCGGGATCACGACCCAAGCCGAAGGCACACGCCCAACCATCTGAGCCATCCAGGCACCCCAGATCAAGTTTGTAATCTGTTTAAGCAACACAGGTTTCATGAGGTTCATTGCATACTGGCGCCAAAAAGAAAGAAAATGCCTCACCTTTGTTTTATTGGCTTTGTCAAGAAAGCAATGTTTTGTATTTTTTTTAAAGCATTGTTTTTACTCAAATTGTCTCTGTAAAATGTTCTACTGTGAATATATGAGCTTTGAAACACATCTTTTATATATATATACACACACACATATATATATAGATGGTCTCCAACTAAGCTGAAAATAAAATGAACTCTTACTAAGCCCATTATCCTTAATTTCCATTATTCAAACCAGAGAAAAGAAGAGAAAGGTCCCCAACTGAAATTCACATAGAAACAGAAAGCAATTAGTTTGGTCTCAATATCCCAGAGACCAAAGGAGTCATATAACTTAGTTTCCCTTGCTTTATTTTCCCTTGACTTGGCCCATCTGCCATCCTATAAAGTCTCTAAAACAATCACCATAAACCTGTCATTGCCCATTTCAGTGAATTATGGTGTCAGCTGTTATTAAAAAGGATTTTTAAGGGGCACCTCGGTGGCTCAGTAGCTAAGCATCTGCCTTTGGCTCAGGTCATGGTCCCCAGGGTCCTGGGATCAAGCCCCATATCGGGCTCCCTGCTCAGCGGGAAGCCTGCTTCTCCCTCTCCCACTCCCCTTGCTTGGGTTCCTGCTCTCGCTATCTGTCAAATAAATAAAATCTTAAAAAAAAAAAAGGATTTTTAAAATGTACGTTAAATGTTTACCTTCTTGGCATTAAATATTTTTTATCTTTATCGATAAGGTGGTGAAAAAACTCAAGGAAAGTCATGTGTTTTGTAAAGCTGATTTTTGACAGTTCTGTTAAAGACAAAAGGAGGGATTTATGGAGACTGAATGGATTCCATGTATATTATAGGACCAGTTTAGCTTCGCTTTGTAAAAAAAAAATTTTTTTTTTTTTTTTTAAAGATTTATTTGACAGAGAGAGAGAGACAGCTAGAGAGGGAACACAAGCAGGGGGAGCGGGAGAGGGAGAAGCAGGCTCCTGGCTGAGCAGGGAGCTCGATGCGGGGCTCGATCCCAGGAACCCGGGATCATGACCTGAGCCGACGGCAGATGCTTAACGACTGAGCCACCCAGGCGCCCCAATAAGTACATTTTTTAAGGAAAAAAGAAGTCACTGCTTACAGAGAATTTACTTTGGGTCAATCTGTGAATCAACCATAAACCCAGGATAATTTATCATGTCTATGTGGCCTATAGCTTACAAGCCATATTAAATGAGCAATATTTTCATTTGAGTCAGATATAGTAAGATATTTGTTACCGTCTAAACATTAATTCTTTTTAAGATCTGTGAGAGAGAGAGCACGTGCACACGCGTGAGCTCAAGCACAAGTGGGGGGGGGAGGGGAAGCAGGCTCCCAGCTGAGCAAGGAGCCCGATGAAGGACTCGATCCCAGGACTCCCGGATCATGAACCGAACCAAAGGCAGATGCTTAACCGACTGAGCTACCCAGGCATCCCTAAAATTAATTCCTCATCAGAAAAAAAAAGTTGGGATATCTATAAATGAAACACTCTGGCTAACAGAAAGGAAGTTAATTAATGCCAGTGTAGTTATCCAAGCACCTTATTGGCTACTCTCCCTTCACGACTTTATCAGTAGTTTTGATGAAATGACCTTTTTGTTTTATAAGTACAATGATTATTAGATTGTACATTAAAATATGTTCATTCAAGTGCAAAAGTAAATCCCTACCCCGTATGTAATTATCTAGATGAGAGGAACCTATACCTCTAAACTAACCCTTTTTAAAGATTTTTCAATTAGAAAGGCATTACATGCTTATTTCAGAAAGGTTAAAAAACAGAAAAATATAAAAAACAAAGTCATAAAACCCAGAGATAACTGCTGTAAAGTAACTTTTCAAAATACATATATAAGTTAATAGAATTATGCCCTGCTTTTTATTTGTTAAAGGACTAGCACTTCCATTAGTATCTTTGACAGTATTATTATATTATGGAAGTGCAGATGGGGTAGAGTCAGAAGAGACCTGGAAGAGTAGTTTTCAACCACGGCTAGAGTTCAATCACTTGGGGAGCTTTAAAAAAAACCACTGAGGCTCCACCTCAGTCCAATTACATCAGAATTCCCAAGAATGAGGACAGGATCTCAGAGCCCTATTTTAAGTCTCTAGGGTGACTTTAAGGCACAGCCAGAGGTGAGCAGTACAAGGGAAAAGCAGCCAGCCTTTCTGCCATGCTACCTCCCAGAAGTACCCACTTTCAACACCTTTCGGGGAGCTATACATCTAGATAAGGTTAAATAGCTTTTTAGAACTCTGTCATTTATATTTTTCCAAGTTTTACTTATTCAAAGGCATTCCAAATATTGCTATTAAAATCGTGGTCTTCTGGGGCGCCTGGGTGGCTCAGTCATTAAGCGTCTGCCTTCAGCTCAGGTCATGATCCCAGGGTCCCAGGATCAAGCCCCGCATCGGGCTCCCTGATCAGCAGTGGAATCGGCTTCTCCCTCTCCCCCTGCTCATGTGTGTGTACGCAAGCGCTCTCTCTCTCTCAAATAAAGTCTTTAAAAAAAAAAAAAATTTAAAAACTGGTCTTTTTAAAGGCTCCTGGGTGGCTCAGATGGTTAAGTGTCTGCCTTTAGCTCAGGTCACAATCCCAGGGTCCTGGGATAGAGCCCCGTGCTGGGCTCCCTGCTCAGGGGAAGGCCTGCTTCTCCCTCTCCCTCTGCCCTGCCTCCTGCTCATGCTTTCTCTCCCCCACACCCCCATAAACAAAGAAAATCTTAAAACAAAACAAAAAACTGGTCTTTTTCTTACTCATTCCTAAGCGGTCCCTCTTTTCATATCAGAGCTCATTGTCATGTGTTACACATTTCCCTATTTTTTCTTTACTTCATATAAATTTATGGCCCCTCCCAATATTATAATCTACATGTAATTAGGTTTAATCTCTTGTTTTAGGATTTGTGGATATCATGTCTTGCTTAAAAGGGCTTTAGCAACCTAAGATTTAACTGTCAATTTCTCTTAGTATTTAGTGTTGCACTTTTAAGTTTTTTATAGATTTGAAATATATTTTGGTGTAAAGAGACAGGAACCCATCTTTGTTTTCTCCCCCAACAAATGGCTAGCCAGTTGTGTCAGCAGCACAATTTACCCTTTACATACGTATTTGAAGTATTTCCATCAAAAGCTTAATTTTCAAGTGTCTCTGGAGTCTACTTTTGGGACCTTTATTCTGTTCCAGTGCAGTTTAACCACATGATGGAATACTTTGCAACCACTGAAAGTATCTTTAAAGAATTAATGGATCAACTATAATAAACTTGAAGGCAACCTTGTTATTGAATAAAACGACTCCCATAAGAAAATTAGTTTCCCTAAATTAGCTTTTGAATTCAAGGTCATGTCAAAAAGATTCATGAAATTTCACATACTGATTCTAAAGTTCATTGGAGAAAAGCAGCATGCAAGAATAGTAAAGGAGATTCTACCCAAAAAATGTGGGGAGGGGTCCAACAGTACTAGATATTAAAAAATTAGAGCTTTTCAGCAGTATCATAATAAAATAGGAATAGAACAAGTGATGAAAAAAATATACTGAACTCTAGAATCAAAGCCCAAATATAAGGATGTAGTGTGATAAAGGCAGCAGTTCAACTCAATAAGGAAATGGATTATTCTAAAAAGTGGTATGGGAAAAACTAGTCCAACATGTGGCAATAAATCAGAACCTACTCAAACCAAAAGTACAGATGTAACTAAGAAATATGTAAGTGGGAGATTTTTAAGATCTTGGGAAATGAAAGGCCTTCTAAGCACAAAACCAAAGGCAGAGGGCACCTGGGTGGCTCAGTCGATTAAGCGTCCGCCTTTGGCTCAGGTCATGATCTCAAGGCCCCACATCAGGCTCCGTGCTCCGTGGGGAGCCTGCTTCTCCCTCTCCCTTTCCCTCTGCCCCTCCCTCTACTTGTGCTCTCTCAAATGAATAAATAAAAATCTTAAAAAAGAAAAATCCCAAAGGCAGACATCATTACAGAAAAAAAAAAGACCGATATGTGGAACTATAAATTTTTAACAGTATATACTAGAATACAAATAATGGTCCACCCTACCTTCCCCTGCAACCCTGCAACCTTCTATAATGTACAGTCTTTAGAAAAGAGGAAGGTCAAATTCTAGTAGGTCTAAAAGTAGCTTTCCTTTAATTTCATATATTCACACTGACCTTTGAAGCAGCAACTGGCGAAAGTTGCCACTCTGTGGACTAATTGTCAGATGATGGGACAGGTAATTACACAGGCGAGCTCCCATGTAAGAGAAATTTGGGATAGATGTGGCCTTTCAAAAAGAAAAAAACTTTTTTAGGACACAAATACATTGTTCTTAATGCAAATACTTAACAGCAACATTCTAAAGAAAACATTTCCGCCCCTAAAACTGACCACACTGTACAAATGTCCAAGTCTTTTTTAGTTGTTAGGCATAAAGAAATTAACTCTCCCTCCCAACTTTACACAAAGAACAAGAACAAAGGAAAAATTTTAAGTTCTCCCCATCATTTACCTGAGGTCACCAGAAAGCAAAAACATAAGACCTCTTTATACTAACTAATTTTTGCATAAGACAGGTGCATGTACCCAGTTGCATAGTGCTAATTATGAAAAAGAGTATTTGCCAAATGATTGTTCTGTGGTGTTTTTCAGGGATAAACTGGCATAGACTTTGGCATCTAGCAGTTCAGAGCAAGATTCCCAGGCCTGCATTGAGACCTTGGACATCACTCAACTTCCCTGGGCTTCCATTTGATTCCTAAAAGAGGTGATAAATGGTATCTGGTACAAGAGATTAACACTTAAAGAATACTCCAAACACACTTGAGGTAAAGCGAAAATAAAGATAAGCTATTCCAAAAACTAAGACCATGAAAAAACACTACATATCAAAGATAGTTTGATATAGCCAAAACAGTACTCAGGAAGTTTTAACTTTTTTAACTGTAGTTTTTAAAGAAGAGTAGAGAACATAGTTCACTACCTAATATTAGGTAGCATACTAAAAGATTAAGGGACCTGACCAAGGTTACAAAGATAGTAGCTAACCATAATCTAGATGTTAACAAATGGCCTGAGGCCTCTCTGACCCTTTGCTGGGTCTACTTACCAGCTGTGGTAACCTAAGCCAAGTCCTTAAGATATGTATAAAATAAGGGATAAAAGTAATATCTTCAACCATGGAGGATTAAATGAGTTAATTACATGTCAAGTGTTACCTAGCATGGTAGAAAGTACTTCCTAATTGTTAGGTCATTTTATTTCTAATTATTTCCTTGCTTGCAAAGACAACAGACTGGTTTCTCCTGAGATCATTCATGGATGTGTATCTAGTACCACATAAGACTTGAAATTCAAAAATCAACCTTTTCCCATTATGGGCATTGCCTGTTTTCCTTTAGTTTACTTTTAAAATTATCACGCACAACTTAAAAACAAGAAGTTCTATAAGGCTTGTTTTTAAAATTTCTTACTTCCCCACTATACCTCAACTTCACTCCCATAGACAACCATTTTCAATTCTTTCAGCTGAAAATCAGGTTTCAACCTCTGTATCCCCATGCTTTGTGATTTCAGTTTAGACATTATTTCTTACTAGTTTCCCACCATGGACAAGGAATATCCAGCTTTCACCTTGCTTACCCTCACTCCTTTCCCCTATTTGACAATCTTTCCACCTACCGACATGGTCATACCATGATTTGATTAGTTTTATGTTTCCATTTACAGCTGGACCATGTAATATATAGATTTCTCCTTTCTTGCACAACTTTGTTTTCCCTAGACTTAAATTTTCTCTACTCTGTTCTTTACTTACATCTCATTGATTTACCCCTAAACTCAAAAGTTCCCAAGTTTCTTCTTAATACATTCAAACACAGCAATTACGCTCATCTTACCAGCGAACCTTGCCTGGAGCCTCTGCCCTACTCCAGTGAAGCCCGGCTATTGTCTTGGGATCTCCTTTCACTACCATCTAGATAATCCATTTAGCAGTTCCTACAAAATTCTGTTTTCTAGTTTCTACATCTTCATCTGTGGCTTTCCTCTTTCTGGTGGAGTACTTCCCTTCAATTCTCAAGAAGGGTTGTAATAAAACTTCAAACCAGATACTCAGTGCAAAAAAATGTAGAGGGTCTAGTTTTTTTAGGTTTTTTGTGTTTTTGTTTTTTTTTAGGGGTTTTTTTGTTTAATATTTTAAAGCTATCCTTTTAGTCTCATTCCATTCTTGTCCTAGAGTCTTGCAGAGATTCCACACAGTAAATCGGGGTGATTTTCAACTTTCCCCCCTGGCTTGGAATTCAATTTTTTTTTTTTTTTTTTTTTTAGATCTGCCCACCTGCTTTCTAGTCTCCAAAACTGGTACTTTAATCTCTTTCCCTCATGTCAGCCCCTATAGGGTATTTGTAGTGGTATTTGGGGAGGAATCAAAGTTGAATATGTATGTTTAATCTGCCATTTTTATAACAGGTCTTCTTTTGTTAGTTGCTAGGAGTAAATCCCCCAGTGAAATTTAAGAACTGTTGGTGAATCTGTGTATCACTGACACAGAATATTAATAGGAAGTACATATTTAAAGAACTGGCTTTGAGACAATCACAGAAACTGTAGTTTGTTAGGTTACAGCCCTGAAGACTAGAACCAGGCAGCCTACGAAGAGCTGAAACTGAAGAGAAATCAGAAAAGCACTAACAATTTCTCCATTTTCTTCTCATATTCCTTTGCAATCCATTTAGAGGCCAAAAGTAGGTATCGGGACAAATGAAGCAATTCTGTACTCCTAAAACCTCAAGCATGTCCAGAAACCTGAGAGTTGGCGAGGTAATACTGAGGGGTCCAGTAACTATTCAGAACAAGCTATGAAAGTAATCAAATGAAACACTAGGTAGGACGAAAATTACCTGCCATCATAATCACCCTTCCACATATTCCAAATTCAAGTTGCTCTTTCAGCAATGACTTAGAGAACACTTAAGTTTCTATTTCTATTTATCTCCTACTGTTTTTGGTCAGTTTCAAACAGTGCCCTTAAATCTGTCTTCAAAATCCAGTGTTGTCTATCTCCCCCACCGAAAATAGCATTAATGTGTCACAGCCCAATATGCTAGGATCAAACCCAAATTTTTTGTGAACAATCTAGACTGACAGACTTATGGAATTAAGATGTAAATCCTTGGAAATTTAAAATAAATATAAGCATAAATGTTAAGAGTCAATACAGTGTTTTGTGGTCTAGCTTTTTTGGGGGGGCTCCTTTATGAGGGAAGAAAGTTCTCCCATTGATTTTTTTTTCCTCCCATACTCCAAAAGTGCTATATAATTTGATACCTAGGAGAAGAGAATTGCACTCTTTCTGTGTACTGTTAATTTCAGATCCTGTAAAAACAGATACTTACCTAGCCTCCCTCATAAATGTCCAACAGTCCTTCCAACTGAGTGTACAGAGCCTTGAATCTCCAGTCTGGCTCTGGCCCTAGATCCCCAGCTACAGGAATTTCATACAACAGACTTAAAAGCTCCCATGAACCATAAAAAGTTAAGATGCATGGAGGCCAGTGAACATGAAGGAGCAACCACCACCCTTGGGCTTCAGAAAGCTATCTGATGATCACCCGCGGCATCAGCCAACCTACCTGTTGATAGATGAGTTCTACAAGTTCTTGCAAAGCATCATCTGTTGTAACCCAGCCATTCAGGGTCTCTGCAAACTGTTCAATTTCAGTTTCAAAACTGCCAGGCTGCTCTGTAAGATGATTCAAAAAATCCTGAACATATTCTGATAGAGTAGGATAATCCTCACAACCATCTTCATAGGATTCCTACAGATGAAAAGTTTAAAAAAATGTTTTAATCCATGCAACGGGCTAAAATAAACCTGAGGCAGCTTAAGGTGAGAAGTCTCTAGCACAAGTGATTCTTCACATGATAAAATTTGTTATTTTCCTCAATAAAATTAAGCCCACTGCATCATTCTTCCTCACCCAATGGCCAAAGTGTTATATTATAGCAGAAGGAGTCCATCTAACTGGGTAGGAAATTGTCTTTTCATTCTGGCAGATTTACGAGACAGCTGAGAAAATTTAAGCCAATATTTCACTATAATACTGACATCAAAATTTTGATCTATTTATGGGTATAACATCTGAGATCTGCTTCAAAGTGGGAAGGAAGAAGGGGCCAGGGATAATAGAAACAAGAACGGCCACAGGTAGCTAACTGTTGAGGCCATGGGGATTCATTATACCCTTCTTCATGCTCTTAAAGGTATTTGAGAATTTCTATATTGGGGAGGAAAAAAAGCTAGTAAGATTTGTCATCTGTTAATCCCCAAAGACAGTGAAATATATATAGTTAAGGGACTATAACATTTCCCCATAGTACACTGTGGCAGACTGCTATATCCAGCCTTCTAGCCAACCTTGACTGGAGTAGTTTCCAACTAATGTTTTACCACTATCACCTTTGGTAGTTCCCAATCTTTTAATTAATGGCTGGAGGCTGAACAGGGGGAGTACTGCAAAAGGTATCAGATTATCAACCCTTATACTTGCAATGCCTGGAATACTAACCAAGCATTCTGAAATTTACTTAACAGTTATGATCTAATAATGACTATATTACTGATGAAAGTTACCCTTTTCCAAAGGAGTCAAATGAGAAACCACATGAAAGAATTATGACAATATAGAACATTTTATGAAGGGGTTAAGTTCTAAAGCCAGTGAGTGCATAAAGAAAAAATAAAATCACACCCAGTCCAAATTCCCCTTAGGAAAGCTCCATGTTAGATGAATACACAATCTTAGTAGAAAGGCTAATCTAGCCAGTTGGTCCTATTTTTTCAGCTGACCATCACTTTGAGGCCATGTTACATAGTTTTTATATATTTCCAGATATTAAAGTGATACTACTTACCATGACGAACTGCATGTGCTATCAGAGGCACTAAGGAAACAGAACCAACTGCAGGAAGAGCGGACTCATGTGCCCGTATCATGCTCACAGTGTTTGCTGAGCAGAACAGGTAAACGGACAGATTAAATGTCTGAGCTCAAAACTCAATCCAAATTAAATGACTCCACTCTAAGGGCGCCTGGCTGGGTCAGCTGGTAGAGCAAAGGACTCTTGATCTCAGGGTCATGGGTTTGACCCCTACACTGGCTACAGAGATTACTTAAAAATAAATTAAATGACTCTAAAACAAATTAACATTGACGAAATTCAAATTTATTCATCATAAACATTACAGCTATGTGATGGAGGATTAAATGAGTTAATGAGTAAATGCCCCTGGACCAGTGACTAGCACACAGTAAGGCATTAAGTCAGCAAATCTTTACATTTCTGGGAAAATACTTATATTCCAATGCCATAGCTGTGTTTTCATACCTAAAGGATCATATCTAAGAGCATCTAAAAATAAAAAGCTATGCTTCTTGGTATGTAAGATGATACTCGATTAATGAGCTAATAGCTACCAATCCCATATAAAATATGGGACAGTCACTTTAAAAGCTCTGCAAGGCTGCCTCAATCCCAAAAAACTGTGAAGCAAGCATTACTGTTCCCTGTGCACAGATGGAAGAAATGAGCACAGAGCAGTTAAGTCACTTTGGTTCTTCATTCAAAACCCTTTGCTGAGTGTCTACTAAGTGCCAAATACTGTTCTAGGTGCTGGGGGTACAGTCTTGGCATGAATAAAGGAAACAAAGTCCTCCTCCAGTGGAACTTATCTTCCATCACAGAAGATATCATTCAGATCTTAGGATATACCATGAAAAAAAAAAATGGGCTGAAACTAATTTAACACTGTATATTAACTTACTGGAATTAAATTTTTTAAAAATAAGAACAGAGGGACGCCTGGATGGCTTAAACGTCTGCCTTCAGCTCAGATCATGATCTAAGGGTGTTGGGATCGAGCCCCACACTGGGCTTTCTGCTCAGCAGCAGAGTCTGCTTCTCTGTGATCTCTCCCTCTGTGATCTCTCTCGCTTTCTCTCAAATAACTAAAATCTTAAAAAAAAAAAACAAAACAGAAAAAATGGGAAGAATTCTGAAGAATTAACATCTAATCTGAGAAAAAAGAAAAAAATAAAACCAAAAAATCCAGTCACACAAATACCTAAGGAGAGAGTCTACATAGTAGGCTCAAGAAGCACGGAGGCCCCAAGGAGATAGGTGCTTACGACACCTTTGAGAAAGAAAAGCCAGAACACAGAAACTGAAGATGAGGCAATAGTTAATATCAGTGAAGCAGATGGGGAAATTGTGTAGGGTCTTGGGGACAACAGGGAGACTGCCTCAAAAGCCAGTGGAAAAACTATCGGGCAAAGGCGTAGAAGCTAGGGTATGAACAAGGAAGGACCATGTACCAACTTAAGTAATTTGTGAAGTCACACAGCTAGTCAGAAGAACTGAGCACAGAACAAACCCTGTACTTCTAACCTCTATGCTATACTCCAAGTAACTGACAAAGGCTTATATCCTAACCTTGACATATGTAAGAGAAAAATCCATCTAACAATCTATCAACAAAGAACTGGTTAAATATACCAACTTATATCCACATAATGGATCATACAGCCACCTGACAAGATATATTTCTATCAATATAGAAATCACCAATATGTTAAAACGAAAAGAACACAGAACCATTATTCTAGTACAGTTTAATTTTAAGAGATTTATAGACTATGAAAAGCTCTGGCAAGATAGACAAGGGATAAATAGTTAGCCCTGGAGTAAATAAATGCTCATATTATGAATACTGACCATTTTTTATAAAATTGTGAAACCAGTTAAGCATTATAAATGTATACATTAAATATAGCTTAATATTAGCCAGGTACGTTATGTGAGTCTTACAATTAAAAATTAGTTTTTGATAAATGGTTTTACAGACTTGTAGTGTCCCTGTTAATGAGAGAAAAGCAGGAACCCTACAGGTCCCAACTGAAGGTATTAATGTCTGGTTTCTATCAAACGTCATTCACTGTGGCAAAAATGCAGTCTGGAACACTGATTTCTAGTTGTTTCAATAAGACCAACTCTCTTGTAAGAAAATTTGAAGTCTGGGGGCGCCTAGGTGGCTCAGTTGGTTAGGCATCAGACTCTTGATTTTGGCTCAGGTCATTATCTCAGGCTTGTGAGATAGAGCCCCGTGTTGGGCTCCCTGCTCAGCGGGGAATCTGCTGGAGATTGTCTCTCTCCCTCTGTTCCTCCCTCCGCTCTCATGTGCACACGTGTGCACGCTCTCTAAAATAAATCTTTAAAAAGAAAATCTGAAGTCTGAAAGTAAAAAAAGGAAAGCAGAGCTGCTCTAATTGTAAGCATTACAGGGGATTGATAAAGGTGGTATCTGGCTGGGTCAGTGGAGCAGGTGACTCAATCTCAGGGTCATGAGTTCAAGCCCCAGGTTGGGTGTAGGATAACTGAAAATAAACAACGACAGGGAATTGATCAGAGCCTGTTGTTTCAAGCGAAAAAAGAAGAACAGCATACTGTGGACAAACGAGGACTCTAACATGTTTGAGTTATTTCTCTAGTACCAGATTTTTTAGAGTACAAATTTTGTCAGTTTTCAAAGTGGAGTTAGATGGCTTGCAAGCTGAGGAATATTTAAAGTTTTATGTATTTTTCTTAGAATTCTGACAAGATATTAGGAGGGACATCAGATAGAAAACACACTTTTCATGGGAGATACTCTGAATGCGTTGCTAGAGATCCAAAGCAGCAGGAATAAAAGGAAACTAATCTGACACTTAGATGGTGGAATAATCAAGACTACTTTAGTTAACTGGATTGAAGGGGGCAAGAGTGTGAAAGAAATGTGAGTCAATACACCATTTTTTAGCCTGAGCAGCTAGTATAAAAAAAACTTTGCAGAAGATAAATTCTTTTTTATACTTGAGTTTCAATGGGACATCCTCATGAATAAGTCAAAACAAATGGAAACACAAGCCAGGAGTTCAGAGGGAGAATCAGATTTCAGATATCAGTAGACAGGCAATGGTCAGATTCTAGGTGATAGGATCACCAAGGCAGGTAATAAAATGGATAAAAGAGAACCTCAGGGACTACAATCTGAGGGAAGAAGGAATGATTTGCAAGTTGCAAGGATGAAGTACCACCACAGTGCCCAAAGAAAAAGTAGAGGTGCTCATAGAAGGAAATGCTACAGAATAATTTTACATGTTGAAATCTGAAAGAACAATGGTTGCAGTCCTGGAAGTGAAAGACTATGCACAGAGAGGAAAAAATTAAAATTAGTATCTTAACTATTCAGTTCCTATAAAGAGAAACTTCTAAAAGACTGAAAAGGTACCCGTGGCCCCTAGCACAGGACCTAGCACACTGGAACTTGTTAAACTGCATAGATCATATTGTGGTCAAAGTCTACTAGGATGAGGATTGAGAGAACAATAGATTTTCAGACCCAAAGAGCACCAGTAAAGGTCACAAAAAGTAGTATCAATTCAATTAGGGGGATCAGTCAGCAGAGGTTTGAACAGTGAGAAGTAAATACTAACAGTGAATACTTTTACATTTTGGAGAACATCACTACTGAAAGGCAGAAAACAAACAGGCAATGACTTGAGGGGAATGTTCTTAGAAAAAAGCTGGGAGGGAGGGGGGAGGAGGGGGAGGGAGGGACAGAGTGTGTGTGTGTGGGATTTTGGTCTCTTAATAAATGCCCCCCCCTTTTTTGACGATTTTATTTATTCATTTGACAGAGAGAGAGCACAAGCAGGGAGAGCAGGAGAGGGAGAAGCAGGGAGCCCAATATGGGGCTCAGTGCCAGGACCCTGGGATCATGAGCTGAGCTGAAGGCAGATGCTTAACCAACTGAGCCACCCAGGCACCCCTTAATAAATCCTTTATGAATTCCTATGTAGAATTTTTGGTTCTTGTAAGTGAGATGTGATTAAATATTCAAGCTGTAATGGTTTATCATCAGAGAAGCAGCAATGGGCAGGAGTAGCTAGATACAGCAACTCCCTGGTAAGAAGGCACGGAAAGCAAGAAATTCTAGCAGTGGGATTACAGGAAGGACTCTAAGATAAAAGGGTTCAGAATTTTGGAAGGATTAAGAAAGCACAACAAAAGACTATCATAAAGGCTTTTTAGAAAAAAGCATGAAATCTTGGGGTGCCTGGGTGGCGCAGTTAGTTAAGCAGCCAACCCTTGGTTTCAGCTCGGGTCATCATCTCTAGGTGGTGAGATCGAGCCCTGTGTTGAGCTCTGCCCTCAGTGCGGAGTCTGCTTGGGACTCTCTCTCCCTCTCCCTTTGCCCCTCCACCCCGCGGTCAAAACCTTAAAAAAGGTCTCAAACCTTAAAAAAAAAAAAAAAAAAAAAAAAAAAAAAAAAAAGGCATGAACTCTTGAGAAGAGATTCAAGTCAAAGATACCCAGATTTTCTTATAAATATAAAAGCAGACTCAAGGCATTTTTGTCCATTTTGTTCACTGCTGTATTTCCAGTGCTTGCCTCACGGTAAACATCCAACTTCCTGTTGAATGAGTGAGTGAATATAGCTAACTCTGGATTATGGCTACTACGAGGAGAAGTCTCCCTCATAAGACCTTATCCTAAGAGTCAAGGAAAAAACAAGGATATTACTATTCTGTGACTAAGTAGACAGAGAAAAATGCTTAGCACTGACAGAGGGTAAAAGGGTAAATGAATAAGACTAGACAGTGCACTAGAGCAGAGGTAGCAAGCTTGAATGATTATAGAATCAAGGTGGAATACAAACCAAGCCAGCGAGCAATTAGAGCTCACACATTCCATCTAGGGGGGCTGCATCCATTCAGCTCCAGTTTTTGCTCTATCAAAGTTAACAGTCCGGGGGCGCCTGGGTGGCTTAGCTGGTTAAGCATCTGACTTGATTTCAGCTCAGGTCATGATCTCAGGGTGGTGAGACTGAGCCCTGCCTCGGGCTCCATGCTCAGCTCAGAGTCAGCTTGAGATTCTCTCTCCCTCTTCCTGTGTCCCTCCCCTGACTCGGGCTCCCGTTCTTTCTAAGTAAATAAATAAAGTAATAGTCTGGTACAAACACATATTAGGATTTCAAGAGAAACCAGAAAATTCAGATTTGCAACATTTAAGTGTTGGTAGCTTATTAAAAGGTGCCCCCCCCACAAAAAGATACACCTGCAGGCCACACATGAACCATGGGCTCCCAGTATGCAATCTGCTCTGGCAGACTGAACAAAGAAGCAGCTGATATAATAGAGGATATCAAGGAATGCCTAACAGAGGACAGTGGCTCAAAGTAAGTGAACATGGCTCAATACACTGCTCTGTAGCCCTGGAGTCACTTGAACTCTGTAGAACTATGTAAACTAGTTTAGTACAGGGTCTGGAAAAAAAAAAAAATTGCATCCCTCCTATCATAAAATGGCCGAGGTAAACAGGGAAACAAAGAGAAAAGTTTTGTGGCTCTTTGAAAGTAAGTACTCTTTACTATTTTATTCAACTACTCACAGCTCTCTAATCATTCATTTCCTGAGCCAAATACAACTTTTTGGCAAGAACCCAAGTGTTCTCACTTCTACTTTACATGACTGACAGCCCCTTTCACCCCAAATCAACTGCTCTTCCTGCTTGCCTATACTTTCCCCTTCCCAGCCCCAAAGCTTTTTCCTGGGCAGTCTAAGATGCATGGAGTTTCTGAAACATAAAATACAGCCTTTCCATACCTTTCCTATCAAAAAATGGAAGGAAAGCACTGGCCCCCAGCCCCAAGAAGTAACAAAGTGTGTGTACCACTGTTAGTTAACAGGTAAATATAAATTAAAACCAGAAGCAGATACCACACACCCACCAAAATGGCTAAACTTAACAGAAAATTCCAAATGCTGACAAGGAAGCAGAGCAATTTGAAATCACACACTACTCAGAGTGTACACTGGAACACCTCTTTGGAAAACTATTTGACAGTCTCTCTTACAGTTGGCTACCAAGGCACTTTGACTCCATTAGGTGTAGAGATGTAGAGATTATTTAAAAGTAAAATCTTTGGAGGGGGGGGAAGAAGAGTTGGCTACCCTGTGTCCTTGTGATTCCACTCCTCGGTATGTACCCAACAGAAACAAGGGCAAATATCCACCAAGACGTGGATACACAGACTAGCAGCCCTATTCACAATAGCCCAAAAGTGGAAACTACTCAAATGTTTATCAAGAGACAAAGCAGAAGAAAAAAAAAAAGACAAATGGACCGTGGTATATTCACACAGTGGAATGCTAGGAGAGTAAGTCACCTTCAACTATGAGCTACAAGGTGGATTAATTTAGATGTTGAATAAAATTGTGCAAAGATATTCTGTAGGACTCCAATTATACAAACTTTGAAAACAGGCAAAACTTGTTAAGTCAAAATAGTAATTAACCTAGGAGAGCAGTAATGATTAGAAGGGGTTGGAAGGAGTTTTCGGGATGCAGATGACACTCCTTTTCTTGATTTGGATGCTGGTTGCCTAAATGTTCACTTCGTGAAACTTTGAGCTAACCTTTATGTACACTGTTTCATGTTAAATGTCAATAAAACTAAGAAATTAGGAAACATAAGAATTCTGCCAAAGTTATCATCCTTTCTTTAACCTTCTAATCGTTCCTGCCCCACTTATATACAATTAATTGCTATGCATTTACCCAGGACACATTCCTTTCTATATATCCCAGCTGTGCTTTGTATTTTCTCCCGCTGAAGAAAAATGTGATCAATTTTTTTAAGTTCTTATACTGACAAAGATGAATCTGAAAGTTTAAAAGTTCTTCAGACCTGTGTAAACATTTTATCAAAACCCTTTATATTTCTTCATAACAGTAGTTAATTAGAACCAGAAACACTTCTGTTTTAACAGAGCCCAGATGTGTAACATTCAAAAGCCTACCACAAATTAGCCTGCAGCAAAACCATGGTTTAATTTACCCTAAAACTACCAATGAATATTCAGCTATCTTGCTAAAATCAAATTTAAAGTCAGCTTTGCCAGGCCATTATTCTTTTTTTTAATTTTTTTTTAAAGATTTTATTTATTTATTTGACAGAGAGAGAGCGAGCGAGAGCAGGAACACAAGCAGGGGGAGTGGGAGAGGGAGAAGCAGGCTCCCCGCCGAGCAAGGAGCCCAATGTGGGATTCGATCCCAGGACCCTGGGATCATGACCTGAGCGGAAAGCAGACGCTTAACGACTGAGCCACCCAGGCGCCATTATTCTATAGATTGTCCAGTAAGTCTGAACACAAATCTTAGTTTTATATATTGAAAGTGCCCTTAACCATATCCTGTATTAGCCTAGAAATACTCTAAAGATACTGGGAATACAGCAGTGAAGAGACAAGGTCTACTCTCAATTTACATTCTGATATTTAAAACATGATAACTACAAAATATATTCCTGAATCAGTTTGGTTCCTCATGAGTTCAAAGAATTCATAATAAAAGGTTTTTATGTGTAGTAGAAAGCACCAGCATACTAGTAATAAAATACAGTAATAACCACATTATCCCAGTAATAGTAACAGAATTGTGGTAAAAAGGCCTACTTACTGTATAATTAGAAGAATAACCTGATGGGTAGAATTCAGGAGCATTCGCAGACAGCTTAGACATTAATACAGGAGCTACAACCACCTGGGGTTTAGCCATTGCTGACTCCAAGTTCTGCTGTGGGATATTATCCTGTGAACTAGGTGGAGCTCTCAGGGGCCTCGTTTGTTCTGAGAAAGGAAAAATGAGGTGTTAGTCGCATTCCTTCCTTTGGACAGCAACTTACGATCTCCTGAAAAACCAAATGAGAAGGGCAGGTTTTTAAGAGTTAAACGAGAACGGTCACGAATTTTAAGGTTAACGCCAGAATATATACAGAGCCTGCAAAAAGGAACAATGGACTTGCTTTAGCTCATTTACGGCCATACCTGCCTCCTAAATGAATGTTTGAGGGCTTTCTTTCCCTTTTTTCTTAAGGAGTCGGTTAAAAAGAGGTGGTTGCTCGCCTGAGGTCTCCCTTTCCAGGGCTGGGAGGGGGAGGCGATTTTTACTTCCTCCCCGGACGGCCGAACTCGGAGACCGCGCACTGGGCCCCTCCCCCAGCCGGGGCGCACAAAAGGATTCCTGCAGCCACCTTCCAAACCCGTTCCGGGCCCGTCCCCACCCCGTTAACAACCGGGCCCCTCGGGGAATGCTTTCGGGGAACGGGGGGGGGCGGGGAACAGCGCGCCGACCTCGGCGCGCGCGGAGGGCCGTGGGGAAGCGTTGGCCCAGGAGGACGGGGTCCCCTAGAGCGGCTCCGTACCTGGGAGCGCCCCGGGCCGGGGAGGCCTCTGGGGGCCGGCGGGGACCTCGCACTGGGCCCCTGGCGGCGGGGCCGTCCTGGGCTGGCGCAGCGGCGGCGGCTGCAGGAAGCCCGGGGCTTTGGGCTGCGGCGGCGGCTGGTGCCGCGGCCGCTCAGCAGGCCCCGCTCCGTTCGGGAAACCGCCGCCCTCAGGCCCGCCCCCTCCGCGGCCCAGGCCCCGGCTCCGGCCCCGACCAGCACCTGGGGCCCGATCGAAACCGTCCGACATGCTCCTCCTCCTCCTCCGCCGCCGGGGGCCGCTGCCGCTGCGCTCGGGAGAGGACGCGGGGGGAGGCGCCGCGGGCCGGCTCTCGCCGCCGCGCTCACTCGGCCCTCATGGAGGAGGAGGGCGGCGGGCCCCTGCTCGGCTCCTCGACGCTTCGGGCGGAGCGGATGGCAGTCGGAGCACCCGCCGAACCCGCCGCTCCAGAGCGCCCGCCCCCCGCGGCTGCCCTCCGCTTTTCGATTCTCCCCAAAACCCGGCTCCCCCGCCTTCGGCACGGCGGGGGCGAAGGCGGGTCACAGCGGCCCCCCGCGGCCCGGAGGCCCCGGGCGCGCCCGCCGCGTCTGCTCCTGTTCGCGACCAGCTGGGAGCCGCGGCCCACCAGGCCGCCCGGGAAGCGGCGTCCCGGCCGCCAGACAGCCCGGCTTGCCGCGGGGGCCGGCGCGGGGGGGAGCATCTCCTTCCCCACGGCCGGGCCGAGGGCAGAGAGGGGCGCTTACCCCAGGCGGGCCCGACCCACGCCGTGGTTCTCAGGAGAGAAGTGCGAGACTGACGGTTGATGCCAGGAAAATAAAAATACGGGGGGAGGGGGCGTGGAGGCAGCGCCAGGGTTCGCGGACGCGCACCTCCGTGGGCGCGCAGGTGTGTTCAATGACCCGGCGCCGGCCGGCCAGAGGACTGGCGGGAGGACTGGTCCGGAAGGAGGGCTCCGGGAGAAGCTCTGCCACCGGCCTCGTCGGCCGCGGCAAAGGGAGGGAGGAACACAGTCCAAATGCAGCCCCCCTCCCCGCCCCTTGCAATTCACAGCAGGTATTTATCCCACCTACTGTGCCCAGGCTTCAGTTTTCTCCCTTTTCTCTTCCTGTCCAGTTCTGAAAACGCACTTTCAATGAAATTCCCCTTTTTCGTCAACTACTAGCTCTGTCCAATAAAAATATAGTGCGAGCACAAATGCAAGCTACTTATGTAATTACAAATTTTCTAGAAGCTACGTTAACGAGTAAAGAAACAGGTGAAATTATTTTTAATGATCTATTTTACTTACCCCAATTCATCCAAAATGGTTGCATTTCAACATATAACTAATACAAAAATATTAATGAGATGTTTTTACTTTTTTGGTACTAATCAAAATCCACTGTGTATTTTACACCTTCAGCATGTCTCCGTTGGAATTAGGCACATTTCAAGTGCTCAGTAGGCACGTGTGGCTAAGTGGCTACCGCACTGCACAACAAAGTTCTAGACGTTATCTGTGTGTAAATTATTGTTTTTGTCAGGACTGACAGTGATGAAGCCAAATGAAGGATGAATATAAGTAGTGAGAAGGAGAAAAAAAATCAACTTCTTTCCGGTTGTATTAAAACATCCTCACAAACTTCGATTGTGACCCTTTATATTAAGACGGGCTTAATGTTTTCCAATCTTGTCATCTTGAGAATCATTTCAATTAGGAACAAAACTCTTCTTAACCATTTTCTCTTCGTGCTAATAAAAAATCATTAACATCTTTACCTAAATGAGTGAGAAGAATGGCCTTAATGAGGGCAATCATAAATAAATGATTCATGCTGTTGATTGTTGACAAAAATAATGAAGTCAGGGAAGGAAGCCAACAAAAAGTACCGTTCCTTCGTGTAGAGAAAGAATGTATGAAGCCGGAGGTTGGTTTAGATCCGGGTCTTGATCCTTAATGCCTTTGTGATCCTGGGTAAGCTAAGGATTTAGTTTCTCTGAGCCTCATTTTCCTCATCTTTAAAACAGTAAGTATGTTGTAGCACTCAGCATATATTACAAAGACAAGATTACAGTAAAAATTAGATAAGGTGATATTCATCACATTAAAATCCGTTCTTTTATATAGTGGTCAGTCACTTCTTACCGGGACTTTTCAATAGGAAAGTAAAACGGTATACTCAGACACAGTGAGAGTGAGTTATCCTGATGTTCCACTGAAGTAGGAGCCCTAATCCTGTCCCAGGCTTTTGTTTGCATTCATCACCCTTTTGTTCTCCTTAGAACTTTGATGATGACTAGCACTTTTTTTTTTACACCTGAGACATTCTTATTTGAGAATAAGGTTACTCCACATCCGCATCTGTGGTGATATCAGGGCATCTTTATAGCCACCTTTTGTTAGATAAAGTGGTTAATTGAGATGCTATCCTTTGCCTTCTCCCAATTTACTGTTATGTAACTTTAACCCTATTCTTATGAGATGGAAAAGGTAGCCTTAGAACATGGATGGATTTAGCTTCATTATAATAACACTAGGTAATACTTAGTACGTGCTAGCCACTGTTTCAAGAGTTTTACTTTATCCTTTTATTTAATCCTCACATCCTGTGAGATAAGCATTCCAATTGTCCCCACTGGACACCAAAGGGTGCCAAGATATATCCATCTCGGGACTGTCATAGGGCCAAGTGGAGGTGGTAGGTATTGCAAAATGCCAAGAGGCCAGGGCACCTGTCTGGCTTAGTTGGTAGAGCATGCAACTCTTTTTTTTTTTTTTTAAGAGTGGGAAAGGCAGAGAGAGGAGGGGGAGAGGGAAAGAGAGAATCTTAAGCAGGCTTGAGACACCCAGGTGCCTCAAAGAGCTTGCAACTCTTGATCTTGGGGTTGTGAATTGGAGCCCCACATTGGGGGAAAAGATTCCTTTAAAAAATGCCAGGAGGTCACACAAACATAAGTACTATAAAGGACTCTCTGGAGAGAATCATCAAAAAAGCTCCTTCTCTACGTTTATGCTTTCTTATTGATTTATGAGGGTAGGGCTAAATTTGGAGAGTTGGAAAATATGTTATAATATGGGAAAAGGGAAATTAAAAAAAATATGGGAAAAGGATCCGCTGTAAACCATGGAAAGGAAAGGATTTGTTTCCTTAAACCAGGTTTAAGGGGTGCCTGGGTGGCACAGTCATTAAGCGTCTGCCTTTGGCTCAGGTCATGATTCCAGGGTCCTGGGATCGAGCCCCACATCAGGCTCCTTGCTCCTCGGGAAGCCTGCTTCTCCCTCTCCCACTCCCCCTGCTTGTGTTCCCCCTCTCACTGTGTCTCTCTCTGTCAAATAAATAAATAAAATCTTAAAAAAAAAAAAAAACCTGGGTTTGAAAGATGTTTTCCAGGAAGACTTACCCAAGCTATCTAGTCCCTTATGATAGTTGTACCTTGGAAAAACTGTCTTGGCACTTAGCATGCTAGATTAATATTTGGTCTATTCTCTATCCTCTTCATTAAACTACTTCTGAAGTCAGAGGACACCTTTTTTTTTTTTAAGTAACCTGCACACCCATTGTGGGTCTTGAACTCACAACCCCAAAATCAAGAGTCACATGCTTTACTGACTGAGCCAGCCAGGCACCCCAACCTGAGGACACCTTTTCATCTCTACAACATTAGATCTTAGCCAAGTACTTGGTATACAATAGGCTTTTAATGCTGATAGGAATCACCTGCAATGCTGCTTTTTCCTTAGGTCACTAGTATAGCGATGTTAAAAAAAAGACTGGTTTTCTTTTATAGTTTTTGGAAGATTTAAATTTAAAAATGAATATTAAAAAAAGAAGAGGGCACCTGGGTGGCTCAGTTGGTTAAGCAACTGCCTTCGGCTCAGGTCATGATCCTGGAGTCCGGGGATCGAGTCCCGCATCAGGCTCCCTGCTCAGCAAGGAACCTGCTTCTCCCTCCAGCCCTCCCCCCTCTCATGTGCTCTCTCTCTCTCTCTCTCTCTCTCTCTCATTCTCACTCTCTCAAAATAAATAAATCTTTTTAAAAAAAGAAGAAGAAAAAAATTTAAAAAAGGAGATTGGTTTTCATAAATCTAGCAGAACTTAATGGCTTCAAGATCATCATTGGACTGTATGGGAGTAGACGGTGCAGCTTTCAAGTCCAGCTAAGAGGAGAATGTTTTCATAAATATGGGGGAGAAAATATTTGCAAGCCATATACTGACAAAAGACTTATATTTAGGGGCGCCTGGGTGGCTCAGTTGGTTGAGCGTCTGCCTTCAGCTCAGGTCATGATCTCAGGGTCCTGGGATTGAACCTCAGCAGGGAGTCGTCCTCTCCCTCTGCCCCTCCTCCCCAACCCCCAGTGATGCTCTCTCTCTCAAATAAATAAATAAGATCTTAAAAAAAAAAGACTTGTATCTAGAATATATGAAGTACTCTCAGAACCCAACTGTGAAAGAATAACCCAGTTAAGAAATGGGCAAAATACATGAATAGACATTTCACTGATGAGAATGTAAGTGAAATGGCATTTAAGCCCATAGGGGAAAATGTTCAACATCATTAGCTATCAGGTAAATGAAAATTAAAACACCAATGAGATTTCACTACCTACTTATCACAATGGTTAAAGTAGAATATAGTGACAACACCAAATGCTTCCAAGAATGTAGAGAAACCAGAAACTGAGTCACTCATACATTGCTGGTGGGAATGTAAAATTGGTATAATCATTCTAGAAACTAATTCCTGGCAGTTTCCTTAAAAATTTTACGTATGGGCGCCTGGGTGGCTCAGATGGTTAAGAGTCTGCCTTCGGCTCAGGTCATGATCCCGGGGTCCTGGGATCGAGCCCCGCATTGGACTCCCTGCTCCTTGGGGGCCTGCTTCTCCCTCTGCTTCTCTCTCTCTCTCTCTCTCTCTCTCTCTCTCCCCCCTCTCTCTCTCTCCTCCTCTGTCTCTCATGAATAAATAAATAAAATCTTTTAAAAAATTTACATATAACTACTATACAACCCAGAAATTGCACTCCTGGATATTTGTGATGGTTAACTTTATGTGTCAGTTTGGTCCATTGGATGCCCAGATATCTGGTTAAACATTTTTTTTCGGGGCATGTCTATAAGGGTGTTCCTGAAAGAGATTAGCATTCAAACCAGTAGACTGAGTAAACCAGATGGCTCTCCCCAAAGTGTCATCTTATCCATTGAGGGCCTAAAGAAAGCAAAAAAGTGAAGGAAGGGAGAATTCCCTCTCCCTGTCTGATTGCTTGGGCTAGGACACTGGTCTTTTCACTTTGGACTGAGACTTAACACCACTGGTGCTCTGGTTTTCAGGACTTCAGATATGGACTGGAACTATACCACTAGCTTTCCTGGGTCCCCAGCTTGCAAACAGCAAATCGTGAGTTGTTTCAGCCCTCATAATCATGTGAGACAAATCTGAGGATTGGTTTTGAGTATTACAATGTCATGGAATTTGCCTGCTGGTTGGTTTCTTTTCTATTTCCTT